TCCTCAATCCTAATTTGTCTAACTTCACTTCAAAACCCCTCCTTCCGCTCCTCGCCGCCCTTGTGTCGCCTGAGTCGGACTAAAGAACTGAAGTGAATTTTTTAATGTCAGCAGTAATTTAGCAGCCTCTCCTTTTTTTGCTTTAAAATCTTCACATAACATCCAGTAAGATAAATAACATCCAGTTAAAACCAACCTTCCCCTCATATGCGCTAAGGTCCATCCATTTCATAGGTGTCAAAAGGAAGCCAAACGAACATTCACCTTGGACGTCACCATCTGCGTTCGGTTGATCATTTTCTTCCTGCGGACTATGCTTTAATAGGTGATCGTCGTAAAACAAAAGTTTCCTGCACTTCCGGCAAACAAATTCGGTTTCACTACCTTTATGCGTTTCTCCTGCGCCTTCTTTTGGCACTAAAGATGAAATCAACCACTTCCAACGTAATGAATAAACTACGATGGGAAACATACAAACAAAAGAAGGATTGATACGCAAAAATAACTAACTAAACTTGTATAACAGATCAAACTGGTAACCTACCCATTTGGTAGATATGGCCGCTCGAATAACACCAGTTGCGATACTCTGCACAATGCGAAAGAGAATCAAAGTCAGCCTTATAACCAAGATTGTAAAATATTCCCAGTTGTTTCATAAACCCGTCATTTGGTCTAAACTTTATTTCGAATTACTTATGAGCCAAAAAATCCATTGTAACTGTCGTATGAAATAAAAGACAATCACTGTTCAGACTTAAATAAACAAGTTATCTTTTCAGCTAAACTAATGGCCATTACCTTAGCCCTCCAATGCCACCAATGAGGACATGAAAAATTAGGAATACACGAAGGTTTAAGATCTACATTTACTGATGTCAGAAAATCTGCGGAGTCTTGAGCAATTCTGGCTTAGCGCCAAGACTTAAATAGTTCGTAAAAATTTGAAATAAAAATTTATAAAAGAACCGGCTATAAATACAGAAATACATCTAAACATTCGTTGTCGAAGATAGAAATTAGGATGTTCATTGGCGGTGTCTAGTGAAACAAAAAAATGTCTTTTATGTTTTAAGTTACAGTGAATTAAGGGTTTCTTAAACATTATAAAGATACAAAGTCCCTTCCAAAAAAAAGCCATTTACCAACAAAAGAAGCTTAAAGCTTAACAGTTACTGCGTTATCGTCTTAACAAATATCAGTAAACGATATGGAGAGCTAGAACCATACTGAACGTTCGGTCGGCAACTACGAACGTGAGTTATTGCTTTTTCAACCGTCCACTGATACCTACGCATTACAAAGGCTGCAATAATGAATGCAGATCTTGAAAAGCCCAATTCACTGAAAAAAAAAAGAAAATTGAAAAGCGATTTGAAGCTGAAGTCCACCTGAAACGTATGTATTTGTCTGTCAGTCAAAACGACTACTGAGTCCGCAAAACAATTTGTTTTTGGTAAACTTTTAGACAGCAAGAAAAAAATAAGAAAAGAAAAAACAAATATTAACGTTACCAGTGCACGAGGACGTTACCATCATCGTTCAAGGCCGTTTCTATGAAGCTTAAAGCCTCTGCTATAAAATAACGGCAAAAGTAATAGCTATATTATTTTAGGTTCAAAAGTTTGTACAAGCGATACCTATCAGGAGCTCAGTGTTAGCCAAGCAGGGCAACTTTCTTACCCGTCTACTACACCGTATTATTCAAATAACTTCACATAAAACAAGGTTCTAAAAATTATCAATAGGAAGAAGCAATATACAGCAGTACAACTCAAAAATCACTTAGCAGATTGTTTGCAAACATATCCTGTGTTGCCATGTCAAGAGCAAATAAAAACTTGTATTCAACATTTGGTATCTGAGACTTTTCCGGTATACACATCGCAGAAACGGTCAGTATGTGTGATATCTAAAACCTTAAACTGCAAGAGGTCACATAAATATTACTGGCAGTCGCCGCAGCGCCAATGAGTGCTGTCAGCACTAAGCCAGATGCGCATAATGGCGAGGTGAATAATATTTCTTTACTTTAACAAAAACCACCAACTACTACCTTACCAAACGTTACAGAAGCATATTTGCTTGAATTGCATTTTTAGGTACCCAAAAGCAAAAACATACTTTTTTCTTATATTTACACTAAACTTAAACTGCAGCATAAAAAGCAGAGTATATATTAAACAACAGATAAAGTAAGTAGCAGAAGAAGAAGAGAAAAAAGAGTGGCTGAAAAACGTTCAGAAAGTGGTGCTCCTTTCCTTCAGCTTCACAAAATATTAAAAAAAAAAAAAAAAGAGAAAACTAAAAAGTAAGAAAAAGAGATATTACCTGTAATCGTCTAACTTCTTCTTGCCCCTTCAAAGTGATCACACTGCTCGCATCGCTCAGAAACAAATGCTTGACTATTTCGTCAATCATTTTATTCCTAGTGGAAACGAAAAATAACAAGTCTGTAATAACAGGATAAGCAATTAACTATTACTATAAATCGAAAACAACAGTCTATGCCTGGTGTTCAAACATATACTGTGATCAAACAAGAAT